TATTTCGATGGAAAAGCGATGGCCACAAAAAACGAACCCAATGTATTTATATCGAGAGTGTGTAATGCAACTGAGCACGAAATTCGAACTTTTTAAGCAGACTCTTTACTCGATCATCAGAAGTAACTCTTTTTTATATTCTATTTAAATAAAATTTAAACATTTTTTATCAGATAAATGTGGGAGTTATTCCAAAAGAAGGTGTTTTAAATGGGATGTTGGGTATTTCTGAAAAATATTGGTGTTAATATCATGCTCTTAATAAAAACCATTTCTATAAATTCTAAAACTTCATATTCATCTGATCATAATTTTATTTTCTATTTAAATAAAATGTCAGCATTTTTTATTAGATAAAAAAATGAGAACTTGATTTATTGCTACGTACATTTACAATTTCTTTAATGAAGCCAAGCTCAGGGGTCAAGGATTGGTTGGGAATGGCTGTTGGCTAATACTAGGACCCTAGATCTTCTTGTACTCGATGCGCTCCACCTTGACCTCGTCGCCAATCAGTTGGTAAACGTAGGTGACCACTGAGGTGCTCTGTATGTCCATCAGCACAAACGAAGGCACAACATTGGTGTCCAGAGGATTAAAGGCTCCCGTCGCCGAGCCAGGGTTGATGTAGAACTTGTTCCCGTGCTCGTAGGCCTCGAACTTGTACGTGTGCCCCGTGATCAGAATGTCCACATCCAGTTGCCGCTGGATGAGGGCCAGCGCCTCGGGATCTCCCCGGGGAACCACCTGGTGGCCGTGGCAAAGGCCGATCCGGAACTGGCCCACCGTGACCACCTTTTGCTCCGGATACGTGAGGTTCTCGTCAAAGTCGCCGCGCACTATGTGCACATCATTGGCCAGGGATTTAAGATAGTCGTACGACTCTTTGGTGCAGATGTTTCCGGTGGCCAGGATGTGGTGGATGCGGCCTGGCACCAGCAGCTTCTTGAACTTGGCCGGCAGGCTGCTACACCGATGGGGAATGTGCAGGTCGCCGAGTACCAGAACGAGCATCGTGTCCTTTGTGGAGCTTTGTTGTATTTCCCAATAAAAAAAATATGTAAAACGCCCAGCAAATATGACGATAGCTAGCAGCGATAACGATAACCAGTGTATCGATGGTGGTGATACTTCTTGTTTGGAAAGACATAAATGGCGGGGATTTCAACTTTATATAATTTGAGCTTATTAAGTATTAAAGTTATTTAATTCTTTCAAGTGTTGAGAAATTATAGATTTGCTTTACGTCTATACAATAATAAGTTCTTTGGCCGGGAGTTTTAAACGTAAGAGTACAGCTCTTTTTGAAACTAATATTACTGTATATTTAGTATAATGATTATACTATAATCACAATCAGTTTTCACAAAATTGGTTCTTCGGAGTGACACCATACAAATTTAAAATGTTTTAAACAATAAATAGTTCGAGAGGCACCCTACTGTAAACATCGACTGTTGCGCATCTCTATCGATAACATTGCCGGCGAAAATGGAAGCGGATCAAGCAGCAGCTAGCAAGGAAGGTGCGTCTTTAATCCAAATAAAAGCGTGAAAACAATTGCTTATGGGTTCAAATTGCAGCTGAATCATGCATCGACCTTTTGGTGATCGTGCTGGACACGAATCCCTCGCAGCACATCGTTCGCCAGAACCCGCAGAACCTCACCCAAATCCTGGAGGCGGTGATTGCCTTCGGAAATGCGCACCTCATGCAAAAGGCCCAGAACAAACTGGCTGTGTTATCCTGCTCCCATCATGCTACGTAAGTGGGGAATTCACACGATATGAGCTTTGTCTAAGTTTCAATCCTTTCCAGAAATTTCCTGTATCCTCTGCCCAGGCGACAAGTGGAATTACGCCAAGTGGATGGACAATATGAAGCCTTCAGTCTGGTGGAGAAGACGGTGAAACAGCAGCTGGGCAGCATTCTGATGAACGCCCCTCGTCTCAGTGCTCCTTGCGAGAGTCTCCTGGCTGGCAGTATGTCCATGGCACTGTGCTACATATCCAGGGTAAGGAAATCCCTGAGGATCCCCTTATAATTACAATATTTACCCGGAAATTCTCCATTACAGCTCCAACGGAATGTGGCACCGGGTGTAAAGATGCACTCCCGCATCCTGGTCTTGACCGGCAGCAATGAGTGCGCCTCCCAGTACATGACCTTCATGAATGTCTTCTTTACCGCCCAGAAACTGGGCATTGTGATCGATACCTGCGCCCTGGACAAGACACTGAGTTTGCTCCAGCAAGGCTGTGATATTACCTCCGGCCAGTTCCTGAAGGTCACCCAGTTGGATGGCCTGCTGCAGTACCTCTTGTGGGTCTTCCTGCCAGCCCCGCAGATCCGCCACAAGTTGGTCTTGCCACCACCGCCCAAGGTTGACTATCGGGCCTCCTGTTTCTGCCATCGTGAGCTCATCGACATTGGCTATGTCTGCTCGGTCTGCTTGTCGGTGTTCTGCAAATACAGTCCAATTTGCACCACTTGCCAGTGAGTATGGGGGTAATTTAATTGATAGGAACCGTACTTATGATGGCTATTTTTCCTTTGCAGCACAATTTTCAAGAATCCAGGACCTTTGCCAATTAAAGCTAAGAAGAAAAAGAAAACCGACAAACAAATGTAATTCCAGCAGTACGAAATGCTGTTGGTCAAAGGGAACAGTATGTTAAATATAAAGGTACTTTTTAATTTTTAAACGGTTGTATTTATTTAGGAAGTATGTAGCTTATCCTTGGATATACTCTCTACATTACCAATTCTTAACAACCTTCACTCCAATGTTACAATTTTTGTAAAGCTTCATCTTTATTTATTCTCTTCAATCAATCACTCACACATTTCTGGTTATTTTGCTGAAATACATGGGACCAAAGTTGGCAGGCAGGTAGGGCACCACCATTTGTCCATACTTAAGTCCCTTTGGGTGCTCAAACTTAAAAATATCGCTGAAGAGGGTCGTATGCTGACTTAGATCCTTGATGGTTGCTGTGATGCCGAACTCGGTGAAGACCTTTTGCAGTGCCATGTGGACTACTCCATCGTTCTGGATGGGCGACAGCGAGCAGGTGGAGTAAACCAAGCTTCCGCCTGGTCGCAACAAACGCAGACAGTTGGCCAGGATGCCTGCCTGGAGCTCGGGAATCCGCAGCCGCTCCTTAATGCGCGTTGGCTTGAAGATATTGTTGTCCTGTTCGTTGAGCACGTGGCGATCCGTGGTGCATGGCACATCCACCAAGATCTTGTCGAACTGCTCATACTGATCTAGATAGCGGGCATCGCTTTGGCTGAAAATGAGCCGCTTGCCCGCCCAACGTTCCTTGTAGTCGAACAAGTACTCCTGCATCACCTTGCGCAGCTTGTTTATGCGGGATTCTTGGATGTCGTTGCACACGAGCTGATCCAGGTGGAGGGTCTGAAGCAGAAGCAGGGACTTGCCGCCAGGGGAGGCACAGGCATCGAGTACCCGCTCCCCGGGCTTTACCTGCAGGAAAAGAGGTGGCAAAGTTGAGGCACCATCCATCATGAAGTGCGAGAGGACACCAGTCAGGCACTTCTTAGGTCCCTTGAAGTCGGAGCAGTTGCCCATTTCGTAGGTGTACAGTGAGAGGTGCTCGGGGTAGTGAAACGAAGACTCCGGTTCGATGGTGAGTGGAAAATCGGCGCTTGTTTGGTAGTACTTGTAGTGCTCCGACTCGGCCACCCAATCTTCCATTCCCTTGATGCTGTGGGCGGGCATGTATTCATACAGTCCTCCAGTGCCGAATTGTGGATCCACCAGGCGATGCTCGTCCAGCTTAACATCCTCCTCCAACGCCTTGGTCAAGCTCTGCTTGAATGGATTATGGATTTCCTCCGGCTGCTCTTCCTGTATGTTGTCAAACTTCAGTTCAAGTGGCAGTGGATTGGATGAACCGTCTTCTCCTGGACTCGGGTAAATGGAGGCCACTTCCCGTTCTTGCTGTTTTCGCAGAAGTGCATCCAGTTTTCCTTCGATTTCATGACGGGATTTCCCCTGTTCCGGAATCGTTTCCTCGCTGTCCTTCAGGCGATCCTGTGCCAGATTAATCAAAGACTTCATGTTGATTGCACCATCTGTCTCCAGCATGCTGCATGTCTGCTCCGTGTCCCCGAAATTGTTGACCATGGCAATGTACTTGTGCCTCGTGAGGAGCGCCGCCCGCATGTTCTTCCACCGGCTTCCGTAAACACTTCCGTAAAAATCATCAAAGTTATCCAATGCCCGGTCGCAGTTGTTCTTCTTGTTCTGCAGGACATTCCATCGTTTTTTGGCACCGCTTTTCCACCTTCTCGGCAGCAGAAATATGCTGCGTACCTTCAACATTTTACACAATCTCCGTTGAAACCGGCAAACTGATTACATGAAATCATATGTTTCTTCAGGCATATCGATAGACGTACGGTTGGCCTTTTGGCGGTTACAATAATCGGAATTTGAAAAGTGATAATGGAGGTTCCATTTATAAAAAGAAAACTATCCTATATTTTACTTAAAATTCTTTGCTTTTACCAAAATAAAGTTAATTTAATAAACTACAGAATGATTTTTTATACATGCACGCTTTTTTAAATTAATGGATGAATTCTATTTCAAATAAAATGTTTACTTAACCAACCCAAAAATGTTTTATTATATATTAAATATATATATATAAATATATTTTTCGTGTCTTTACCTAATTTTAACTTTATTTATATGGCTAAAATTCCCCTTCTCATTCGGGACCAAGACTTGAGGTATTGAACTTTCAATATCAAAATTCAGTATGGAATAAACATCTTTTCATATGTAAGCTTATTACAAATCCGTAAACAAATTCCTAGAATTTTATGGAATTACTCAAATGCTCATATTGTTCGATCTAAAAATAAAAACAAACATCGAAAGTGCGGGTATTGACCCGACATTTCCAACAAAACTAAAGTTGAAACCCATTTTCTTCCCCTCCCAAACAGTAGTTTAACTCATTGCATCCACTAAGACGTCGCTTTATTTGTAGACAACTTTTGAAATCAAGAGTGTTAGGTACATTAGGCGGGCTGAAGTGTTTATCCGTAATGGTGTACGGCTACTAGCTATAGGGTTACAGCGATCTAAAGATTACAGTGCACACTCTAAAGAGAGAACGCATAAAAATCGGGTTCCAAAATGATCTTAACGTATTCGGTGTTTTCTGTGTTCTTATAGTATATAATATAACGAAAAACCGTAGATCATTTTTAAATTCGATTTTTTAAGAGCTTCCTATTCCGCGCATACAATGCATAGTTTGTAATTGGTATTTACAGTCCAGAGTCGACCATTCCATTAGGTGTTTGCTTCGTCCAAATGATATCTGAATTAGCAGCAATTCTTCGAGTAATTTAGGCAGAGTAATCAAAGCAAGATTGGGGATTTAAGACTTTTGGGGCAGCTCCTTCAACGGAGTCTTTTCATCCTTGGCCTCGACATCCTTGGGGGATCCAGACTTGTTCCACGATTGCTCGCTACCAGAACCCAAAAACACAAATACGAGGAACTCTATGGCGAATAGGACAATGGTCACTCCGAAGATGATGCGCCAGGCTCCAATGTTTTGCTGGAAAGTTTAAGAAATTAATTGATTAGGAGAACATAAGATTTTTAACTTTTACTTACATTTCCCTTCGTGACGAATCCCACGAAAAGGGGCACTATGATACCAGGTAAAGTAGCCGCCGTGTTGGTCAGAGCCACCAGAGTACCAGCGAAGTTCGGGGCAATATCGATGTGATTGGACAGGAAGCCGGAGAACATGGAACCCATGGCCACAATGCCGACCGACATGACGGTCACAGCCTCATAGTGACGGCATCCAATGTAGCAGAGAACCAGCAGGCAAACTCCAGGGATCAGGGTGCAAATGGATGTGGCCGTCTTGCGGGCAACGGTGGTGCTGATTTTACCTGGAATTCGTAAGAAAGTAAATATAAATATATGTAATTGGTTTTTTTTACTATATGATATGATATATTCCATTAAATGGTGACAGAACCAGTTTGGAGTGTTCCAGAAAAAACATTTTCCAATTCTTAAAAACATATCCTCTATGATATAATATGTTCTATGGCATGTTTCTAAGAAATTTTTATGTTTTGCAATTCTTTTTTTTAACTTTAAAAATTCTTGGAAATGTAATTAATTTCTATAATTATTTATATTAAAATAAAGCAAATCAATATCTTCACAAATTTATTAAATTCGTTTGAAGTTTAATATTTTAATAATTTCAAATGGTTAATCAGAAAAAAAAAAATAAATAATAAGATTATACAAAATATAATTATTGTTTTAAATCAAAAAGCAAAAGTTTGTAGTTAAAAATCTAGAAATAAGCTTCTATTACTGGTATTATCATATTAACTCACCCTTAGCCTGCAGACTGTCCAAAAGTTTTCCGAGGCAAATACTGAAGATGATCATGGGGAAGTACGGCAATGCACTGAGTGCCGCATTGCTGGCCACGTTGAACTTGAGCACCTGCTTCATGTAGAATGGGATTTCGATGAGGAACATGTACCAGCCGAAGTTGCTGCACGTGTGAGCGATCAGGATGGCCCAGAAGGGAACGGACTTGAAGACCTTGGCCCATGGAACTGCAGGATGATGCTCCGACTTCGTCTCAGTGCCCAGCGAACTGTTGATCATTTGCCGCTCCTCAGGGCTGATGAAGCGCTGCTTGTTGGCATTGTCCTGGACCAAGATGATCCACAGTATCATCCAGATGCAGCTGAGACCACCCATTATATAGAACACCGATTCCCAGTTCAATTTGGAGGATATAATTCCGGCCATAAGGATGGAGAGCGCAGTTCCCGCCGATGTGCCCACATAGATGATGGTGGACATGACCATGCGCTCGGTGGGCGGAGCCCAAGCGGCGATCATCACGTGCATGGCCGGGAAAGAGGCTCCTCCACCGACGCCTTCGAGGACTCGCATCAGGATCAAGCCGCCGTAATGCAATTTAGTAAACGCAGGGGTCAATAGTGTGCACACCACATTGATGGCCACCGAGAAGAGCATCACCCATTTGGCGGAGAAGTTCTCGGCCACGTGGGCAAGAGGAATCTGTGAGACGAAGTAGCCCCAGAAATAGCAACTCAACAGGGTTCCCTGCAGGGGTTCGCTCCACACGAAGGGTCCTTGCTCAACTGTCTTATTGACAGCCTCGTCATTTCCTGGCGGGTGGCACTCCTCCACCAGGGAAACATTCGAGAGGGTCGTGCTGTCACCTCCATGTCCACCACTAAGACCGTTTGCCTTGATGGCGTCGTGATTTAGCATAGCCACCATCGCTACGCTAAGATTCACCTTGAGTCCGTAGACAATGGCCATGCCGATGGATCCCAGGATAGCCAAGACATAGCGGGCGGGCACAAGTTCTGGAAACGGAAAAAAGGATCTTAAATATAGTAAATGAAGATTGTATTAACTGAATCTACTTCCCAACAACTTCTTGTTTTAGTTCAAGATGAGTTTTAAATGACTCAATATTGAACATTTTTGTATCTCTATTCTTAAATACGTAAAACAAGTTATCTCTGTCCTATAATTCTGAAAAGTCGTCTTTAAGTTTAAAGGTATAAAGAGTTAAGAAATCTTAAAAACTTTATTTTGAGGTATTTAGGTATTTTAAAATGTTTAAAAATATAATTTACATATCGAGGTATTTGTTTTACAGAAACAAATAGTTTATAACAATCTATTTAAATATCTTAAAAAAACAGTAATCCGTAAGCAATTAAAAGATATTTCCCTCTGTAGTGTGGGGAAAGTCAATTTGATTAATGCCAGCGATATTCGTATTGGCCAATTCAATTGCTTCCCGACGAATTCCAATTAGCATTGATATGGTATGCTAAATAATACCATTTAAGCAAATTAAGGAATTAGTTCTAGGTTTGTTTTGCTACTACTTCCCGAACCCCGAGGAGTATAGACAAACAAGTAAAGACAGTGAAGGCTATACGAAAGAACATTACCATAAAAGTATTTTTAGGGACATGACATGACACCACTTGGGTGTTTTGAACCCCATCACCTGGTGACCCACGAGTTCTGCATAGAACACTGATTACTGGCAGTTGGGTAGGGTCAGTATCGCACGCGCATCGATAGCTGACCGATTATAATCCACACCCTTTTCAAATCGGAAAGGGGACAATCATGTCTGGCAATTATGAGCGCACGTTGCGATAACGAGGGGTATAAATTTGTGGTCTTTGTTTTCAATTTCACTTTCATGGCTGTCAGAAATGGGCCTTCCGAGCTGGCAACACGATTATTTATATTTGCTAATGGCCGGGATTATTATATTCTCAATGTCTTGAGATATACCCTATTCGTTAAAATCTTTATAGACAAGGCATATTTGAACTAAATATATAACTTGGCTCCATACAAAAAGTGTCTTTGATTTAAATATTAGTAATACTGTTTTTCTATGATTTTAATATTAAAGGAAATTTTTTGTTTATCCCCTTTAACATTTCTCCAAAGGGTAACCTTTCTTCGTTGGTCGTTATCTTCTTAATACTTTATTACTTAATCTTTATTTGCCTTGGGGTTAAATGCTGAAAACCACCAATACCTTTCAGTTGGTAAGTATTCATAAATTTCTCTAGACTTATTTGCTTGTTTGATTAGGATGGGCGTGGAGGTAAAGCTCAAGTGCTTAGGGTAATCTATAAAGTGCTAAAATAATTTCTCCATTTAACAAAATCGATTGGCATCTACGGAATGGTTTGAAATGTTTTAAGATTGTTTATTTAGGTTTTTTTTTAACAAATTCATCATTCTTGAATATAATTTTAAGAATGTATTACCATTTAAATGAGTTTTTGGCAAAACCTTTGTAATGAAATATGTCGATATTTTAAAGATGACTATTACCTGCTTAAAATTATTTGAAATATTTTATAATAATAATATTTGATTAGAGCTTATAAAAAAACTTGGTTCCATCTCTGTTTGTGGCACACTACTCTAATAAATAAGTGATTCAACTTTTCATAAGCATTTGACGAAATATCAAATATCCTAATGAAATATTCATAATGTGAACAGTGAACGTTTGATAGACACTGAATCAAACAATTTCAGTCGATATCATAAAAAAGCTCTAAAAATAAACTCTTTGGGTTCGTATTGCTTTTCTCATAAAACTCAAACAACATTTCATAAGTACTTGACGAAATATTAAATATCCTACTGAAATATTCAAAATGTGAGCAGTAAAAATTTTGATAAGACACTGAATCAAACAATTTCAGTCGATATCATAAAAAAGCTCTAAAAATAAACTCTTTGGCTTCGTTTTGCTTTTATCATAAAACTCAAACAAATGTCGCATAAAATTTTTCGCAACGTTTGATTAAAGTAAACACTATTATTTATCACATTCAAAAGCTTGGCAAACTTTCGCAGTTTTTGTTGGGATAGGTAGACGAATTTCAAGAATGTCGCGTTTTTTTCGGTACGTATACGAATTGGCTATATATTTGTATGTCAATATTGTTTATATCTATGACTTCCATTTGACCTTGTCCGGACATCAGACCCTGGGCATAAAAATTCCAAAAACAAATCAAACATGCCTCGTGGCGTGGGCGGAAATCTAAAAAAAGCCACAGCAACCTAAAAACATAAAGGATATGCCCTGTACACAAATACACACGCAAGAAGGAAGATTTCTGGAACTCACGCACACGAACGACCTTTGTGCCGGTTTTTGGAGGTCAAAGTTGTATCTTGAACATTGTTCTTGGCCTTGCCAAAAAGTCTTTTTCCCACCCACTTGTTGCACTTGTGCATCATCACCGGCTGATGCAGTCCACGAATGCAATCTCGAAACAGATGGTTCCGATTTACATACAATCCATAACACTTACTGCCCAATATGCTGCCTTTGGCGGGCACTTCGTCCGGCATCTTGGAGATTTCTAATATATGTATTCCTTACTGCAGCCGGCGACCCGGGAATGTTAATATTTTATTTAAACAGATTGAGATATATTCTCACGCCTCCAAACCGAAATAACGCAATCGAAATCGTAACCGAATCCGTTGACGAAATTCACGTGCGATGCCTTCGAAAGTTGCTCATCAACTGAAGCGGCTAGCTGGAATACTCTTTGATTTTGTGCGTCGTCCCCAAAAAAAAATTCTCGTTTCGCCTTGGTGTACGTGTGTATCTGTGTTTTGGGTTTTTGGGACCATGTAGTGGTGGTGGGTCTCGAGTTTTGGGATCTTGTTCTCTGGTCCCAAGTGGTTTGCCTGTCGTTTGGCGCGTATCTTTGGCTTCGTGCTTAGTTGGGGTTCGGAAATGGTTTGTCATACTGCCCGACATCTAAACGATATACCCCCTCCATAGGCCTCAAAGTCGTATGCCTCATATAACAAACACCACTCCCCTCGGTAAATTTCATTTGCTTTTCATTCGATTGCATCGTTACTTTTAGATACTTTTGGTTCGTATCCCCGCTGGGTTGCGGTCACTGCTAAGTTGGCTTTTACAAATGCGCCCACGCATTTGACTTGGCCAGCATATCAATGGTCTATCCCCGTGTTTAGGCCAATTTCGAAATGCTTCATGAATGAAAGGGAAATAACAATTTAAGCTTTTAATTTATGAGCCATCCCTGCTGAATTTTAATTTAATTTTGATCACGTTTGTGGGGTAACAAAAAACGGGGTGTTATGAATTGTATAATATTTATTCAGAAATTTGACGAGCTTTTAAGTTCACTATATAACATACCTAGAACAGAAATTGTTATTTTTTTAAATTATCAATTTAAAAAGTAAAATACTAAATAATTTTTAAACGAATGACGTTCATAAAAATTAGCATTGCAAATATTAATAAAAATCTGATCTTTATTTAAATTTTTTAATAATTTTATAAGCGTTGTCAATAAACTAGCCTTCCTCAACTCCAATTCAAAACCATAAAAATATAATTTTGTCTACAGGTGGATAAACCGAAGCAGTCAGCATATAAGGCGGTTGTTAAACATGCAAAATGCGTGCATAAAATTAGTATAAATTTGTTAGCCCATATAGACCTAATAGGCTATCATGAAAGTCCAACCAAATGTATCAAACATTTTTTTATTATAGCGTTACCTTCTTGATTTTTATACATTCAAGCGCAAAGTTTAATAATTTAAATGATTCTCTTATTTGAGTAGTTAATTAACGCCAATCTTACGATATAAGTTTTCCAACGGATTGATCTCATGATAAAAGGTGTGAAATCGTGATGCCCGTGGGGGGAATAGCTAAAACAAATGATATATAATATTCTTAATAGATTGAGGTCTATTAGTAATTTTTATGGCTTTGGGAATACATGTCAAAATGTACTTTATAAGGTTTGCCTTTACTTGTTCGATTTAAAAGCCCTTAAAGACTTTTCCTTGCCTTATCCTCTACCAAGTCTTTTTCTTTCTGGTCATTGCTCATTTGCTGATGAGATATGCAAATGTGTTTCCCGTTTCCATTCAAACCCGCATCCAGTGACTACCCCACCATTCCTCCAGCTTCAGGCTCCAATGCTCTTGGACTCGTTATGTGTATTACACTCCATACATATTAATGCCCGTTTTTTGCCATTTTCTCTGTTGTTTGTATTTACTTAGTTTTCCTTTGCCATATGGTAACAATTTGGGTTTCAGTCGGGGTGGTTTAATGTATTATACAGTCTGCAACTGACGAGTAACCGATGCTTTTTGATAAGATATGACCTAGCAATCCAATTAAATCTGTGTTCCCAGGCAAAAGTTGTGATTAAAATAGAATTTTGTGCATTTTGATTAACTTATTATATGAAAATAGAAAATAATATAATCGATATTTCACTGAATTACTACCTTATAAATAGGGTTAAAGCTGAATAGAGAAACGAAAGGGTAATACTAAGTCATTATAATAACAATGACTTCCCATCGATCCCCTTCCAATTAGATAAAAAGCAGAATACTAGCTCAAACGCATTTAAGTATCTGGACCTCATCTACGTTATTCACAGTGTTTTGTTTATTTGCCTTACTGTTTATGGTATATATGGTATTGTTTATGGCTAACAAGGGCCTGTTGGGGTCTGTTGGCATAAAGTTGGCCCTCATCAAGCGTCCGGGCCAGAACTTTGTTTTCCATTTCCAAATGGTCACAATAGAGACTTCATGGCTGCTTGGTTCCCTGGGTTCTCCGGTGAATATGCATTTGTGTCATTGGGATTTGCATGGAACATTAAAGAAGTACAAAGTACTGGGGGTACTGATGATGAAAACCATCTGAATTCCGATTGATGTCAACGCGTGTGCGGAGGCCAATTGGTGTTTATTTAATTTTTGGCACACACTTCGTTTGAAAGACCAAAAGCGACCCCCTTTTTCCACTCGATGTTTCTAGTGGTTAATTGGCTTTCATTGAATTGTCTCCCAATTTTCAATTATATAACTTTTCCTTCCAAATTTTTTCGTCTTTTAGAAAAAAGAAAACGACTTTTATGATTTTTTCATTGAGAAGCTGTTACTGCGCAGCAAGGAAACCAATTTCAATTCGTCTAATTGTAACTGATGATGATTCTTGTAAGCGCCAAATTGACACATTTCGATGATTTGATTCCCCACTGAAATTGTTAGAAGAAATGCTTTTAATTTCCCATTTTTATTCAAATATCTGCCTTTGACAACAGCAATTCGGTTTCCAGGTCAATGAACTAAACCCCTTCCTTTGTAAAACCCCCATTTATCAAGTTTTTCATTGGTTTTCAAACCAAAGACGTATTTTATTTAATCGTAAATCAGTTGCTTGTAAATAAATATATTTTCAAATTAAGCTCGCGCTAAGAACTTAAGGCGTAAATTAAAGGCCAAATATTCAGGGACCCAAAAAGTGTAAGGGAAAATATATAATATTATAGTTAATTGAGTGTTCATTTATGTATATATATTTTTCTGTATTGTATTGTATACACACACACATATACGCTATTAATGCATTTTAAATACTCCTCCATCATGTGTATCTTTGTATAAGTAATATAATTTATTTTTTTTATCATATTCCATAGTACAATATTTATGTATATTTGATTATTACCAAAAAACAGTCAGACAATTTCATTCAAATTAAAGATACGCCTCTCCGTCGACGGCATAAAATATTTAAAATATTTATGCTCCTGAGCCACTTTTTAATTCCGACAAATAAATTTGCATATTGTATACATATAGTTATATATATTTTACCATATATTTAGCTGCGGATATTCATTAGGTATATACGATTAAAATTCTCATCCATTGTCAGATCGTTTTGTCCCCAAGTCGGCGCGTGTCTATATAAAAGTGTAGTTCCCAATGAGGTGGCTTTATAAATTTTTAGTTTTAAATTAAAGCAATTAAGAGGACCATTGTCGCTTCTGAGCTCGATTAAAGTTGATAACTAGCCGATTTTGGCGATTGTTGCCATCGATATATTTGTATATGTTTATATATTTGAACGTTTTCCACTCATTTTTTTGTACTAGTCGGGAAGCCTCTAGTTCGATAAGTATTACACAAGTAGATACAGATAGTTGCGGTTTCTCTGAATTTCAGTAATTGTACATTTAGTTGCCATAGACATCGATTTCTTACAGGGATTAAGTGGCATAGATTCGGTTTAGTTCCATTTCGGTTAGGCTAAAGATAGATTTCGTGGGCAAAATCGCCGAACCCTTTTCGGCCTCCTAAAAACATTGATTTGATTATGTTCTTGACATACAATAATATATATTAATGTTCATATGCATATAACAATAATTTAATTCTTGTTAGTTGGTTTAAAATTGAAATTCTACACAAAAATTGCACACGAGTTGACCTTGACACTATCTCATTACGATAATTGAATTTGAAATTTGTTATTTTTTTGGGTTTCATTGTGTTTTTTTTTTGGATTATGTCATGTTCAATGTTCAAAAAAACGAGAAATACTCTTTGTGGGGCCTGTGGCTATCATTAAATACTATATATGTAGACTATCGATGCGTTTGGGATCTTTAGAAGTACTTCTCGCCATTATAGCTGGATCCACGTTCGGCCACGGGTTCGTTCATGAACTGACTTTGGCTAACCGATCGCTTCTTCTTGGCCACCATGTAACGCTGTTTTGAGGAACCAAAACCTAGGGATATATTATAAAATTTGAAAATATATTGTGGTTTGTTATAGGTTATAATATATATATCCAAACTTACGGCTATTGACTCCATTGTACTTGTGCTGGCGCGGCACGTACTCGTACTTGGGCATCACCTGGTTCTGATTTTGGTTGTCCAATCCGTAGTAGTCCACCAAAGGGGGTTGCGCCTGTACGGGCACATCCATCCAGCTGCCCGCCGGCACGTAGTCCAGATCGGCGTCGGAGGCAATCATGGGCACCGCTTGGGTGTTCTCCACATCGCTCTCCTTGCGCGCCCGTTCTCCGGCCTCCACCAGGGCGACCAGGGCCAACATATCAGCGGGGTTCAACTGGGTATCGCGTTTCAGTCTAAAAATAAAGAAAATAATAAAAAAAAAAGAATAACCAATATTAGTATGATTCCTTTTTGGCAATAGTTTTTACTTTAAGCGAATACATTGAATAAAGTTGTTCGGACTATAAACATTTTTCAACTGGTTTTAACTTTAATAAAATAGTAATTGTACATTTAAGGTGGCAATGTACTTTAATATTCGTTATTTAGGTTTTTGTATAAAAAATCAACAGATTATTACACCGAATACCCCAATTAAAACTTGAAAGATTGGCGAATATATCATCTTTTTCTGCCAGCACCGTAGTTTCAAAAAAAATATTACTCATACGTAGTGTTGAGCATGCCTTTAACATATTTTTAATATTACTCATACGTAGTGTTGACCATGCTTTTAACATATTTTTAATATATTATATAACATTTTTTTAGTATGTTGTTAATTTTGTTCTTATAATATTTAACTTACCGCATATCGTTGAAGCGTCGGTATTTGTTAAGGTTGATATTTTCGCTATTATAGCCACTTCCACTTGAAAGGCCACTCGCACCATTTCCACCAGTGCTGCCCAAGTTGTAGTAGATGCCGCGCTTGTTCCGGTC